CCATCTTGCAGTGACGGTTCTCCTCTTCTCTGATGACGAGGGCGGGGCGACCTGTCACTCACATGAGATCCACCAATAGCAAACCACAGCCATCCAATCAATTCCCAATGGACAAAATCAAGCCCCGCCCACATTTGTTCTAGTTCCAGAAGCCGTTTTTAAATTTAAAATCAGGCAATTTGTCTTGAATAAAAACATTTAGTTTGTTAATTGCTTTTCTCTCTAAATCGTGACCCCAACGACAACAAACAGAGGTTTCTAAGTTCAAACTGGTCCTGATGGTCCTGTAACCCGAGCGAGCTCGTACTCCCTAATGTAAAGTGCCGCGGAGCGTTTCTTTTTTTCCGTCAAGCATGAGAGTACGTTCTGTACCTCATGGTTCCGGCAATTTCCTTTCAGCCTCCATGTTTAAAAGGAAAATCCCGAGGTCCCGTGTGCCCTTGGGCCTTTTTCACATACACATGTAAATCTGACCTTACCAGCTTTCAAAGACTTCCCTCAACAGTGTGTTTCTTGAAAAGACAGCTAAGCGGCCATAATGTGGCCTAGTGAGGGATCCTCAACGGTTAATTATCCATTTACGCTTTTAAAGAGAAAAATCCTTTTAGCGCGCACACAGAGGACTTCTTTGATAGTAGGCAAGGCCCTCCTAAATACCAGAGTGGAGGACATGTCAAATGTAACTCTATTACACAGGACCACTCTCTCCCATTATCAAAACGCTAACCCCTGTTCTGCTCCACAGCGGCCTGTTCCACTTTACCACAGGCGCCCATAGAAATACAGGAAAGGTAAAACCCAGATGGGTAGACTTCCTGTCTTGTCTAGCGACGGCCCATTCATTTCCATTGGCAGTGGTTCCGTCTGATAAAAGGGAAAAATGGCCAACAGATCGAATGTCCACGGATGGATGAGACTCTGCTTGGGACGTGCAAGGGATTTAGTCTTAGTCACTTGTGGTCACTTGTGGAATTTCCGACTTCCCCGAATTTAAATCGATAGTTGACCCAAAAAAGAAAATTCTGGCATAATTTACTCACCCTCAAGTTGTTATAAACATGTATGAAGTTTTTTGTTCTGCAGAACACAAAAGAAGATACTTTGAAGAATATGGAAACCAAACAGTTGATGAGCCCCATTGACTTCCATGGTATATTTTTTCTCCATACTATGGATGTCAATGGGGTCCATCAAATATTTGGTTACCCACATTCTTAAAAATATCTTGAATAATACTCACTTGAGGGTGAGCAAATGATGACCGATTTTTTATTTTTGGGTGAACTATCCCTTTAAGGATGGAATACACTACTTTTGCACAGATTTTTTGCAGTCTTTCGAGACAACGCAGATGTTTTCTCAAGCTTCAGACTATCCAGTCAGAGGAAATCAAACATGTTTGATATTTTGACCCGATTTTAGAATCTTGTTTTCATTTGTCACACGTCTCCTAGCAACAAGGCACAAGTTTCTGCGCAAGTTTGTTGCTTTTGAAACAACTTGAAAAGTCATGGTGGTTGTGTGTGAATGATCCTCAGTCGTTTAGTGTACGATGCCCAGTTTTTCTCTGTAACAACTTACCATGTCGCAAGTGTACGAAGCCTATAGTGGTTTAAAATACATGTTCCAATTTTAAAAGTTGTTAAGTATAGCCAATTCCAGCCTTAAAGGGTTAGTTCACCCAAAATAAAAACTCTGTCAGTAATTACTCTCCCTCGTGTTGTTCCAACCCCGTAAGACTTTCGTTCATCTTCAGAACACAAATTACGATATTTTTGATTAAATCTGAGAGCTGGATCACTCCTCCATAGGCTTCTTAAGGGATCGAAACTGGCCGGCCCAAAAGTTATGAAAGACATCGTTAAAATAGTCCGAGTGACGACAGTGGCTCAACCTTAAGTTTATCAAGCGACGAGAATACTTTTTGTGCGCAAAAAACAAACAAAAATAACGACTTTATTCAACTATTCATTTCCTTCTCTGTGGGCCGTGAGATTTCACGTAGTGAAACTACGCAGCGCTTCTAGATTGTACGTCACGCATCCCTCACATGACCAGCGTCGGCCAATAGTGAGCCTGCGTGTGACGTGCAACCTAGAAGCTTTGCGCAATATCACGGCCATACAGAGAAGGAAATGAATAGTTGAATAAAGTCGTTATTTTTGTTTGTTTTTTTGCGCACAAAAAGTATTCTCGTCGCTTGATAAACTTAAGGTTGAGCCACTGTAGTCACTCGGACTATTTTAACGATGTCTTTCATAACTTTTGGGCCGGCCAGTTTTGATCCCTTAAGAAGCCTATGGAGGAGTGATCCAGCTCTCAGATTTAATCAAAAATATCTTAATTTGTGTTCCGAAGATGATCGAAAGTCTTACGGGGTTGGAACAACACGAGGGACAGTAATTACTGACAGAATTTTCATTTTGGGGTGAACTAACCCTTTAAGGTGCAGCTTCTGTGGCCAAATCCAGTCATTCTTGAAGGAATCTGCACGATTGGGAGTTTTGCTCATATCAAATATACAAGTCAAATCATATCCAAGTTGGCCACGCAAAGTTGTCGTGTTGACCATCAAAAAGCTGCTTGGTTTGAAAGTGACTGCTGTGTGAGCAGTGCTTCATATATCGCTAACACTATTGACAATAGACAATGAACAAACGCTGCCCGGCCCCCAAATAAATCGCTGTTTGGATTTGAATAGGCAAATGCCTAAGAGTGATTGGATGATTATTGATGTGATAATTATGTTTCTAGCATGTTATATGTTTGACAACAGTTCTTCGGTGTGTAACTTTTCATTTCTTACACAACCATGTAGGAAGACCAAATCTTGAACAAACATTGACTACGTTTACATGCAGCCAAATTTCGGGTTATGGTCGGGTTAAGGTCACTATTCGGGTTTCTGAAACATTAGGGATAACCCGTTTACATGCGTGAGCAGAGAGAGTTTCTCCTGTATACATGGAATTGCAATATCCCGATGTAAACGCGACGCGCGGTTAGCGTCTGGACGTACGGACAACCTTAAGACGCACTATGCGTCATTTCCGATTCTTCTTCCTGTATCCAAAGACAACAACAACAGCAGCACGCGGATAATGAATAGTTCGGGGCAGATAGCGATCGATCGCCTTTGTTTGCGCTTTGGTGCTGGTACTGACCTCGCTCCAAAAGTATGCTGTGCTGCGTCTCGCCATGTTTACTTCCGGTATACTGCACGCGGGTTTTTGTATGCGCCGAGAAGTTTCTCTACTCAAAAGACCAAGATTCCTTGCGAATAGAACATGCGCAGAACACACATCACTATGGGGATATGCCGATGCGCGTTTACATGACCAAAAATTCGGGTTAGAAAAGGGGTACCCCAGGTATAATATCCCGGTTTTTAAAATCCGGGATATGAGCATATTCGGGTTTTTGCCGGTGTTTACATGGCCGTTCGCGACCGGGTTATTGCTAATATCCCGGTTTTGAACTTTCTTGTGGAAGAGCTGCTTATGATGAGATTTGATTGATCATGTGACTTTCATCACTGCTGTGATTGGTGTTTGTCAGTGTATTACAATGGTACAAAACAGATATTAATACTTCAATAGGTCGGTAAATTAACATTATATCAGATAATGAAATACGGTTTATTACTGTAAATTTTAAGTTAAGTCTGTAAAACCAATAACGTTGCTACCGTATTTTTGACGGTAAAGTTCTGGCAACCACAGCTGCCTGTTTTTTTACCGTAAAAATTACAGTTTTATTTTTTACAGTGTACCGTGAAAAGCTTTTTTCTGAACCGTTTTAGTTGGATGTTTGTCTAACATTTTTTAAATGTTACTACTTGTTATATATTCAGAGAACATTCAACAGTATCATTCACATAATGTTTGCAAGATAAAAAAAAAAAGGAAGAACCTGGACTTTTTCTGAATGCTAAGAGAATATAATAACAAAACCATTTTCATAACTTAATGGATTTTTAGTAACTTAACTATTTTTGGTACGTGGTTTATTCTGATCATTGACATTTAGAGTAGTTCTGGAAACGCATCTCGAAGTCATCACGGAGTCCCTTTGTTACATCATACGTCTCGAATCCCAACTCTTTCCGAGTCTAAACCTGACCTTGGGGTAGATTTCCAACCTTTGTGGGTAAATTCCCGACCTTTTGGGAACATTTCTGTAACTCACTGTACCTAAAAAACCGACAGGTCATGTGTTTGGCCCAGGATGTTACCCGACACTGTCTTTCTCTCAAAATTAATCTCAAGGAAAGCTAGGGGGGGAAAAGTGGAATTTCCTGAACACAGATCCCAGAGTCTCTCCCGCAGCACTGAGCACTAATACCTCCATCAGTCGCAACCTTATCGCTGGCATCTGGACAACAAGAGGCCAAAAAAACAAGCGCCATTTCCCCAACACCAACCTTTTAAAGAGGAAAAATTCTATTTATGCCCTGCCAGCTCGCTATTGCTTTACAGAGCAATTAGGTTTGCATTTCTCCCCAAATACTGGCCTCAGTGACCCAGGGAATCCCCAGCATTGAGCGCATGTCAACACGGCGCGACCGCCAGGTCAGGGGGGGCAACTATCATGACCTTGGCATTGGTATGGCGCTTCATCTGAACCTTCCACTCGCAGGACTTCTTTTTTTTTTTTTTGGCGGGAGAGAAACATCTCAGCATGCAGCGGGTAACAAAAGGTTCACTGTGAGGTAAAGATTTCCCCCTTTAATGGAGGCGAGAGAGAATCTTTCAGTGGGAATGTACTGGGAAGGAGACATATCAATCCTTACATTAAGCCATGCAATTAATGTAATCCAAGATGAAGCGTTTTTTTTCCACGTCTTCTCTTTCACAATAAGAGACCCTCCCCTCCCACATTCTCAATGGCCTTTGAGGAGGTATAAAAGCCTTGACGGCTGCTGCCGCCACAGGACCAGTTCACGTGCAATACTACACTGTGTACTGTACACCACCGGACCCAGTCTCTCACCTCCAGCCATGCTGACCAGGTAACTCTACATCTTTCACAACGCAAACACATCCGTTTTATTATCACTATCACACATCGAGAAGGGTCTAAATTGTATATGTACTGTATGCCACTCTGTAAAGACATAATGCTTGAATTCACTAAAATGGTTCCACCTAATTAATTTATATAGTAATTATATAAAATTATAGATTTTTGAATATTTAAACACATTTCGGAACATGTACTTTAATATAGAATACTGTGTGCTTTCTTAATTTAAAAACACATTTTGGAGCTGACAATCAATAATGGAGAAGAAACAAGCATAAATCGAGAGCCACAATAGTGGTTTTCATTGGTGATTATTAATAATAATCTGCGATTATTGCATTGCTTGACTTCAACTGCATGAATGCATTACACATTATTAATCAAACAAATTCACTACATATAGAATAGATGCAAAATAACAAAAATATGTTTAGCTAATTCTCATTAAGTTATGAAACCGTTATTTCTGAATTTTTTCACTGACTGTTCAAAATATCCAGGATTTTAAATGTTTTCTTTTCCTTGGTTATGCAAACATTAAGGAAACATTAAATGTTATCATTCTGCGAATGTTGCTTTTGAATATTCTCTTAACATCTATTAATGTTACTGGAATAATGTTTGTTCATAATGTTGAGAGAACCTTGCCAGAACATTAGCTAAAGATTCGAGAACGTTCACTGTAAGCTTGGTCCTTACCTGCTTATCTATAAGTCAGATTCATTGTGTCAGGAAATGATTTATTTGTGTGTTTTGTCACAGGAACATTCTCATCCTCTGCTCATTGGTGCTGGTACTGGTTGAAGCGGACCTTGAAGCAGGTGAAAGAGAAAATATTTGTATCCTTTAATATAAGAGAGTTAACAAAAAGAAGCCACAAAATATATAGAACATCATATCAGTGAATAATTTATTTAAATTCAGAGTTTAGAATTTCTTTAAACACTCACAGATTAATAAGAATGCATGGCTAATAATTCAGTATAGTATAAAACATATATATATATATAATAATAAAATGTTAAAAGAGGTTTTACAATTTAATATGAAGAATATGAATAAATCTCTGTATATATAAGAAAGTGACTAAGATATTAATTGTTTAAAAACGACCATTTTTCTTTTGTAGCTGAAGGGGGGTCCCAAGCCATGTTTGCCACAGGTATTCATAAATCATAAAATCAGTAACATTAGACCATGTTGCATGCAAATATAAAAAACAACAACAACTAATAACTAAGAATCCCTCTATTAACCCACAGATCATGATTCAACCTCAGATGAAGCTCCAACTGGTGAGTTTCTCACTCTTTCTCTGTTTTGGAGTCACCGTCTGTATTGTGTATTAGTTCTGTCTTCACTGCAGTGTTTTGTGTTTTCATTCACAGAAAGCATGAACCTGGTCTCACCCGACCTGCCCAACGGTGAGTGATCACTCCTTCACAGAAGCAGATGAAAGAGGGTTAGTTATGAATGGTGTGCATGGAAGGATTAGACCGTACCCTTGATTTGAGAACCAGACTGGTTGGTGTTCCTGATAAACGAGAGAATGATTGTTGACAAAGTAGTGTTTGACATGTTGCTCTCAGGGATAAACTGAAGGTTTTAAGCTAGGCCTACTGCCTGGAAGAGCGTTTGAACTTCAGCTCGAGAACACAAGAGAAGACTTTTACTATTAATTTTCACAAAGAACTTTTTATCCTCTAGTTCTTTAGGAAAGCAGGTTCTGGCACGTTAAAGAACATAATGAAACACCAATGTTGCATTCCAATTTGCCTAACGTTACGCCCTAAAGCATGTACTGTTTCTGTGAAGAAAAACTACATACTTTTGAGTGTGCAAGCTAAATTGGGACATACTACTTCGTCATACTTGCGTAAAGAAATGTAGTAGCATGTTGCTCTGCCAGTCGTGTGTTTTCCCTGTGGAGACTCTCCTCTTGTGTTAGAGAGTGAGTTAATGACCACACGGATCTTTATAAAAGTTTACAATGCTGTTGCAGATGTAATATAATGTGGATAACATTGAATAAATATATTTTCGTCAGGTTAGATACTGTTTATTAACACTCAAACCCCTTTATCTAAACCGCTCTGCTTAACCGTCTACTAGCACATCCGCCATGTTTGTAGTTTTTCCAACAGTTTTTATTCGTGTTTGTAGTTTTAATCAATTTGAGTAAAACTTTACAAGTCTGCCATCTAGTGGTGACTAAACAAACTTTTATTTTCTCTATTCTGATCTACCCAGAGGACATTAGTTGTTCAGAGTTAAATTTGCTCTCCATTCAATCTCAGTGCAGTCTATGATAATCACCTGAGATATTAAGGAGATCTCATTTTGTGATTTCTCTTTCTTATGGCTACAGATGAGCTTCTGTATTACAACGGAGCAACTGCAGGTAGCCTAAAAGAAGGAACCATGTCAATTGTTCAGAAATAAAAGGTATTAGACAATTAAAAATAAATCTGTTTTGTATGCTTTAGATGCAAGCAGCACCAGTGCTGAGGCGGGAAACAGCGGTGAGTATCAGATTTACTGGAGAGAAGTGTGTGAACGATGAGAAAATACAATTCCAGCTAATAAACTGAAAGCGAATATGGTCCAAATATTGACACGAGTCTCCTTTTTTTAGCACCTCAAGTAAATGACGTGCCCAAAGCTGGTGAGTCAGTTTTTATTATGTGTGATATGTTACCAAAATACAGTCTGGAATATTTACAGGAGTCTTTACTGTCAGTGGCAGGAACATCCCGATTGTCAGCTCACATTTCACCCTAAAAAGAAAAGAGAAAAAACATTTTGCATAAAAATATAGGCTTGAGACTTTTCATGACATTTAAGCACATTTTCCAACAAAATTTGAAATATTGTAATGCAAAAACAAATAAAAAACGATCTCATTGCTGTTATGATTTATTGAAATAGAAAAGTATTTATACACCATGGTAGTGCTAAATTTAAATTCATGCCAATTAAAATAAATAGTTGTATTACATGCATTTATTTATTTGTATTGTTAATTTAATTTTCTCAAAAAAAAGATCATAAGATCCATTTTAGATGCCAAAAATATTTATTTATATTTTTTATTTTCATTTCAAGCTGAAATATGACCAGAAATATGACCAGATATTTCACTCCTAAAATACCAATGCATAAATAAAAAAATTATCATGAACATAAAAATAATCATTTTGTGATAATTGAAAATAGCATGAAAGAATAAATGAATAAAATAATCAATATAGATAAAACTAATGTATAAATTGTATTTGTATTGTACATTTGATTTATTTATGTCACTTGCACAATTTCACAAGGGTGAATTATGACCTGGCATGCTCCTAAAATCCCACGAGTCTCATGCATCGTTTTGTTTTTTTCTTCTTTTAAATCTTCAGATGCACCTAAATCCAGTATGGAAGAAAATGATGGTAAATATCACATCATAAACACACACAGTGAATCAGTGAATCTTAATAAACGAGATGTGTAAAGTGTCTCTCTGTGCAGAAGAGGAAGGCCCGGACTCAGATGAGGCAGCGGTGGCGGCTGTCAAACCCGCTCCAGTCCCAGTCCAGCAGCGCGCCACCAAATCCCATAATGCATCAGCACGCAAGCGGAGCAAGCCCGTCTCCGCCTCAAAAAAGAGATCAAGAAACCTGCGTCCCTGAGACGTGAACTGTGAGAGAAACAGGGCAGAGCTGCAATGACAAGGCAGTGACAGAAGAAGGGAAATAATAACTATACTGTTTATGTTTTCAGTGGCATTTTTTGTTTTGAGAATCTTGAATTAGACTTTATCCTCTGTGACGTCCTGTGTGTGTGTGTGTGTGTGTGTGTGCAGCCTCATGGGAGTTTTCCTGTGAGGTCTCTGTTAATGTGAGCTACAGTTGTGCTTGCCAAATATTCTTCAGACTTTACCCAGAGGCAAGGCTGACCTGGACACTTTACAGGATTGATTTCGTTTTAGATCAGACTATGATATTGTTATAGTATGGACATTTATAGATGGCTCTTTTTTGCTTGATTAATTATAGGATAGATTTGAATCTAAAAGTCTCAGAGTTGATGAGAAACTGGTGCTGGCATCCTCAGATGTGCCGTGACTCTAGCCTTCGCTCTCCTCACAATGACAGTGTTTCAATCAAAAGTGTTTCTCTCTTTGTTTTCAGTTACTTTTTTTTATACACAAAGTATTTAACATTGTTGAATTTACAAATATTACAATCAATAACATGTGATTCTGAAACATTTCTTTCTTTTTATTGTACCCCTAAATAAAAGCAATGAATATGCTAAATAGAAATACAGTGTCTCTTCAATATGCTTTGGTCTTTGATTAACAGGGAATATGAAATATTATTTTGCATAAAAATGCTATACTACTATTTTATTAGTATTCAAGTACAAAAATGCACATATAAACATAATATATAAGTATGTGAAATGAACAAAGAATAAATGATTTTTTTTTAAATCACAGATGCACAGATATAGATAATAATAATGTTTCATTAATTAAAAAATAAAGCAAACACCGCGAACATGATAAATATAATCATAAAAATAATAATTCGTATTAATTAAAAAAAACATGAAATAATAAATTAATAACAAATTATATGAAAAAATAATGCATAAGTTCAAACAATATATATTAAAAATGAATTTATATATATATGACATTTATGCATCTGTGCTTTTTAACTAAATTAAAAAGTACAGATCCACAGATAAAATAATAACGTTTAATAAATAAAAAGTAAACAACACTGCATTAAGAAAATTATTATAATAATATAATCCTCTAATAATTACAAATAGCATGAAATAATAAACAATATGGAAACAATAATGCATAAGTTCAACCAATATATGATATATAATATATTTATGCTTTTCAAATTTAGTTAAAAAGCAGATACATAGATTATATAATAGTAATGTTTAATAATAATAATAAATACAGTAAATAACACAATAAAAATGGAAAAAATAAGATGCAACCAAAATGTTTTTAAAATGCCCAGTAAAGTATATATTACATTTTTACAACTTTTTGGTTGCATGTTATATTTTCCATATGTATTGTGTTAATTACTTTTTTATTTATTATTATTAAACATTATTATGATTATATCTATGTATCAGTGTTTTTTAATTTAGTTAAAAAGTACAGATGCATAAATGTTATTTGTGTGTGTGTCTATATATATATATTACATTTTTAAACATTTTGGTTGCATACATTTATGAATATATATATATATATATATATATACACACACAAAAATGTTATTTATGTTATCTTACAGTATAACCTAAATCATTTTTAGAGGGAAAGTAGAGGAAAAATTACTATAACAGATCCTTTCATCAAAATTCCTTGATAATGATTTCCACTTGCTCTCTGAATGTGTAAGTGTTGGTGAACCGGCCTCACCTGTAGCTCTATAGGCTCTCTCTGCAGAACCCTATACCTCCTGCTGGACGTGTGCGGGACGCTTTGAGCCCAAAGGTCGGGCCGTTCTCTCACGCTAAAGCTGATACCCGTCTGGGCTTCTGGGCTTCTCCTGTGACGTCCACAACCACACACAACCTTTCGCCTGTTAAAGGTCACAAGGTCAGATTGAGAGCTTTTCTGTAATCTCACACACACAGCGACGGGATTTACCTTCTAGAATATCAAGACAAACACACACATTCACAGCGCTGAAGTGGATTCCTCCGAAAACTCCCACACGAATCACTGATCTACAGGGACAGAAAGCAAACAGTGAAAGTCATACAGATTCGGAATGACAGATGAATAAATCGTGACAGACTTTTCATTTTCAGGTAAACCATCCCTTTAAATCAAAGACTTTTTGGTTTTATTCAAGTCAAGTTTTTATTACAGTAATTATAACATTTCCTTACATTTGGATGGCACCTGAAATCTTAGTAAAGACATTCAACAATTGGGTATTTTGGCTGAAAAAAAAGAAAAGAAAAAAATACAGATATTAAATCCATAATAGTAGTATCCAAAATTGTAAGAAAAAAAGGGACATAAAAGACATTAATTGTAGTAACAATAGTATCTATCTAAGGCAATATCAGCCAACACAGCATTACAGCTTTTTTTTGTTTTAATTCAATAAGCTATATATTTATTGCTCTGCCGGTAGTTTTGGTTTTAAATCAAAGACTTTTACTGCATAATATACAGGCAATTTCTGATGATGAGGCTTTTATTATGTAATTATTTTAAAATAATGTAAACAAAGAATAAACAAATAAAAAAATATAACTTATATAACTTATAACAAAATATGCACAGATATAAATAATAACAACTGTTTAATAAATAAAATAACAATGAAAATAAATTAAACGAATGACAACAGTGCACAAATAAATAATCATAACCATACAAATAACTTTCTAACTAATAGAAATAGCACGAAAGAATAAAAGAAAATAACACAATAAAATGCATAATTAAAACCAATAATCTGCAATTAATAACAATTACAATTATTGTTTTTTTATTATTAATATAAATGGTTATTTTTAAATTATTTAAATGAACAAAAATAAACAATTAATAAAATAACATTTTAAATAAAATGTTATTAATTAACATAAAAATACCAAAATATAACAAAAAACATAGATATTAACAATAACAATGTTTAATAAATTAAATAACTGAAATAGCATTATTCACTTAAAAATAAAAAGAATAATGAACAAAGGAAAAGTAATCATAATCATACAAATAATAATTTTCCAGCTTGAACGAATATAACACTATAAAACAAATAAATAAAAACAATAATGTTTAATTAATGAATAAAATTAGTGGTGATTTCAGTGGAAATTAAGAAACAATCATCCTTTAACTTTCCATTTACGGAACAGTAAATTAATTCATCCAGTGCAAAAAAAGCAATTAGACCGACACTGTGTTATCTCAGTATCACTGATAAACTGCTTATGTTAATACTTTAGATATAGTTTTCACTTACAAATAAAATCAAAGTGTAAATGAAGCACTTTCAAAAGCTTGTTTCAAATGGAGCTATTAGTTCCTATCATAAAAACATCACTTGAACTCAATGAACATGAAAAACAAGCTGGGAAGTGTTTTGGAGGGGACATTATCTCAGACGTGCAGGAGTTTCACTAACAAAGGCCCTCTGTTCCACAGGTCTCCTCTCGTATCGGCTCCTGGGCTTTACTGGAACCACAGCCCGACTGGTACGAGCTATGAAATACTTCAGCCGCTCTTTAGATGACTGACTTGAAATCGTGAGGAACGTGTTACACTTGTTAAGCGTGGAAAGCATGTTTAGCACAAACTGCATTAGTGCAGAACTTCTGTCAGGTCAGGGGAAGTCAATGTGAAGAAACTGACTACTGCCCCCTCATGGTCATGTGAGGCATTACAGCAAAAAAGGCTACTGGAAATAAAATAATAATCACAATGTAAAAAATGTATGTAGTGTTACATTGCATTTAAATCACTCAATGAGATGTTCTGATAAACTATGAATATTAGGGGTGTAAATATATCGTGCCACAATATATCGCAATAAAAAAAATGCAACAATGCGTATCGTGGATAGTGACAATATGTATCGTGGATAGGTCCCCCCCCCCCAAAAAAAAAAAATTACTGTGTGAGAAATTGTTATTGTCAGTACTACATTAAACTACTATATATAATGTTGATTACAATGTATAAAAATGCAATGGGGGAATATTTGTGGGTCCTGATAATGCCAAATGTTTCTTGACTGGTAAAAAATGTCCAACAAGTCAGTGAAAAAATGAAAGAATATTCATCTAAAATAGCATCTAATATTGTTATTCTGGTGTCACTAATTTTGCTTTGTGTTTCCAGCACCAAGTCCAAGCCTATGCATTTACACACACAATGTAATATCAAAGTTAGCATTTTAATCAACAGTAAAAAAAAATTGTTAACCTTTTATCATATGACTTGGAGTATTGCAATATCGTATCGTGAATTCAGTATCGTGATATGTATCGAATCGTGACATGAGGGTCTCGTTACACCCCTAATGAATATTAAAAGCCCGAAATACTACAGGGATGTACAGTATTTACATTGGAATCCTATAATGGGACAAAATAGGAATCCCAATAAGATCCTACTAAATAAACTGAGAATTTATTTTGATATGTCCTGTCATAATGATATAATACTGATATTGTGTAAACATCATCAGAATTTGTATTAATTTAAAACAAAGTCTTGCTACACTACAGGACACTTGAATGTAAATCACACGCTTAAAATTCCTATTTTTGTGATATATTTTGTATTCAATTTTAAAATGTACACATCAATTTTATTTTTACTAAGCAAAATACATGCATATTTATGCATATAATACACAAAACAAAAACTTAACTGCCAAAGAACAAATAAAAATTAATTAACTTGAATAATCACAAAAGTGTGCTTTAAATTCTTTTTGACGTCCTATTGGGAATCATAATAGTTCTTTCCTCGATAATATGTTCTAATTGTTTATTTTGTAATATGTTAGAATTCTATAAGATTTCAAATGATGCTTATAATTCCAGCGAGATTCCTTTAGGGTTTCTGAGTAGGGCGAACTGCTATAAACATGGGTCGTTTTACAGAAGCGTGTTGGATAACGTCCCCATCACGGGACGCAGACTGTGCTGTCGGCTCAATGGACGTCACGGAGAGATGGATTTGTCGAAGAGCTCGAGCACAAACAGCCTTTTTACTGAGCGGAGCCGAGAGACATTCTTACATTTCAGATGCTGTTACCATTGACTCCCTCTCGAACGGATGAGTGGGTCGAGAAGAGCTGAAAATCTGACACTGTACACATCGAAACCCTAAGCCACCTCATATACACTCTGCACTCCTCAACACGGGTACATGAATCAACTCAAACTTGTGTGGAGAAGATATCAGACACCGGTTTCTCCTGCTGACAATAACACAAAAACCCCACTGAAGGAAAGTCATATGAACATCACTTGCGTATGACTTTTATCACACAAGAAGGAAAAAAACGCCTCGAAACGATACAAAAGACCTTAGAAACACCCTAGAATACAACAGAATCAAGCTATGAGACGACAATGTGCAAAATACAATATAATACAATTAGATTTGCATGCTTTCATATATAACATGTATGAGCTGTGATGTCCATGCATGATTATATGATATTCCACTTATTTCAAAGCAACAGACTAATATAAATATGCAATAAATGTTTGGAAATCAATACACAAAATCAATAAAAATCAGATTTATTTTTTAT